AGGTGCTCTACCTTCCTATCGTGGAGTCTGTGAGTGTCAACAACGTACAGCTGCTGGGCTTCGTGATCGTTGTGTTGTTCGTGCTGGCCACCACCTTCGCCTACCTCGAGCGTAAGACCTTCTTCCCAGCCAAAAGTGACAAGAGTTACAGGCAAGTTCCAAAAGCTTCATCTCCAACTCAGGCTCTCTCTAGTATGCCCTCATTCGCCTGCCTTGTGCTTGGAATGCCCTTGCTATGCCTGCCCTTTACTTGGAAGAGCCTACTTTCAACACAGGTTCTATTATGCCTTCACTGCTTGTACAACTCATGGAAAGCCCCATCTTCAGCACACTTTATATTGACTGTTTTTTTTTTTTTTTGCAATTCAGATTGTGATAGCGAGATCAATGATTCAAATTATGTTCTGAAGTAGCCTTTGATGTATATTAACAAATAATAAAAAGTCACAATACCATGTCTGGAACAACTCACCATAAACCAGCCCTTGGGAAAGAAATCTTATAACGACGTTTTGGTCCGTCCTTAACCACTGTCGAATCACAGCAGTAGTTGTGACGCAACAATGGTCCAGGCTGGACCGAAACGTCGTCCTAAGATTCCTCTCCTAAGTACTGTTTTTTGTTGAGTTGTTCCAGTTACAATTTTGCGACTCTTGTTTCATTCTTTGTAGATCTTGCTGAAAACCCCCAGGAGAGCAAAGCAGCGCTACCATCACATTACCACATGATCATTAACATGCTCACTGGTCTATCAGGCGACTGCCACCAAAAAGTAATTGTCTGCCCCCACACCTTGCACCAGGAACCAGCGTGAGTGAATGACCTAGATACATTGATGGCTATCTAGAGGGCATGTCCGCCCCGATAATAACCACTCCCCTAAAAGGGAAGGAGGAAGGGGGAGCATTTTCTATATACTGACTGGTGGTGAACATTCCTTAACAGGTGCACGACAGTTGTGAAGAGAGTCAGGTGCTCGATCACACATACTACATGAAGATTTTGAGTGACTTTATGCCTTTAAGAACACAGCTATTTACGCCATGATGGGGGTCACGGTATATGCCAATTTATCTTGGAAAAAATCACCTTGTCAGGTTTAAATTCACCGAGGGCCGCGAGTGCTCGTTCGTACCTACATGCGCGACTCTCTTCCAGTGATCATATGGTTGAGACGTGCCAGGTAAAACTGTTTGCGGTCGTTGGGGTTTCCGGAGATTATTACGTCACAACAGCTGGGGGTACTAATAGCTGTGTGACGTGACAACAAGACACCGCACCTGTCATTTCTGAGTGGCCTGGTAACCTGATGCTGCACCTGCTAAGTGGCCGAGTGACCTGGAAGCCTGATGCCGTTCCTGCCAAGTGGCTGAGTGACCTGGCCATCGGATACGTTGCCTGTTAGGTGACTGACCTGGCGGCTTGCCACCGCATATCTTAAGAGGCCAAGCAATATGATGACGACGTAGCTGCACCTGTCAGCTCACCAAGTTGGCTGGTGGAGTCTCCGCCGACTTGTCCATGTCCTGAAAAATACTCCCGAGGGAAAATTGTACGTTCAACGTTATAGGTTCGAACCTATGAACTTCATGGGAGAGATGGGTGTATGGCCCCGGTTATGGCACAGGGTACTTCTGAGCAGAGATATACTCTGATGGTTTAAATGTTTAAATTTGTTTCCTGTTCTCTCATACTAATGAACTTGGAAAAAATGTAATGCAAATGTATCTGTATACCTGCACCTACTGTATACCTGCACCTACTGTATACCTGCACCTACTGTATACCTGCACCTACTGTATACCTGCACCTACTGTATACCTGCATCGTGCTACTGAATTTTGCGTTCATTTTCACTAATCATTAAAAGAGCTAATTGCTGTGAGTTGTTATATCTGTCAGTGATTGATAATACTGATATCGCTCAGAGGAGCTTGTAACAGCATGTACGCCGTTGCTAGCTACTTTGCATATCATTAATGCCTCGAGTATAAGAATTCATAGCAATGATGTCTGTTTACTACAACTTCACGAATCTGTGAGTGCGTGCTTGTGAAACTGCATCTTTAAGATGTGTGACTCACGAAATCGTAATGACACGATTGCAAACAAACCATACCCCGGCCGGGATTGAACCCGCGGTCAGAAAGTCTCAAAACTCCAGACCGTCGCGTTAGCCACTAGACCAGCTAGCCACAATAAGATTCGTCCAACTAGGTAGAAATATACCTAGTTGGACGAATCTTATTGTGGCTAGCTGGTCTAGTGGCTAACGCGACGGTCTGGAGTTTTGAGACTCTCTGACCGCGGGTTCAATCCCGGCCGGGGTATGGTTTGGTTAAGATGTGTGAGTGTGTCTACGTGATGTAGAGGAGAGAGAGAGAGAGAGAGAGAGAGAGAGAGAGAGAGAGAGAGAGAGAGAGAGAGAGAGAGAGAGAGATGTTAAGCGTGTGTGTAGGAACTTTTGAACCAAGTTAGAGAGTACTTGTGGTAGGGGACCTAAATGCTAAAGTAGGAGAAACATTTAAAGAGTGTGTGGTAGGTAAGTTTGGGGTGTCAGGTGTAAATGATAATGGGGGCGTTTGACTGAACGTTGTATAATATGTATAATACGTTTTTTTTTTTGTGTGTGTTCCAGACCTGAGTTGCCGTATGTAAACCAGCACGACACGCAGGAGTGGGATGAAAGTGACGATCACTGGATATCAGCTGTGGAAGCAACGGAGACACCACCACATCACTGGCACATCTTCCTCCCCTCCCACGAAGATGTGATTACTCGTCAACCTCAGGCAAGACCGGAAAATCCTGTCGCACCCCAGCGGTCCACTCGCCGTCCGTCTTACCCAGAAGAGCAGCAGACACACTATGCAGCCGCCCAGCCGGCACAACACCGACGCCCTCATCCCTCAGCCCAGTCGGGGTCATCACCAAGATGCGTCCACGGGTTTTCATGGACTGAGCCCTCAACTGGTGACCTTACACACCACTCAGCCACATGCGTCCCACGAACCTTGACACGTTCGACCGCAGATATTATCTTCCTACGAACACACTCGCTCCATGACGAAGAACGAGAGGAATCCCTGTACCCAGTCTACGAATCTCGCCGTTCCATCTACCCAGGTACTGATGACATATCACTAGACAGGCATCCCAACCGCACATACACGGGGAAACCCTCAGTCACCTCACCAGAAAATTTTCCGTCCATTCTCACTCCGCACCTGAGCGCCCCGCTTTTAAGCCAATCCTCGCTTACCGCTAGTGTCAAACAACACGCGGTGTCAGTACACACCTTTCTCAGCGGCCCAGACATCTCTAGAAATTAATGATCCAAATTGTTATAAATGCATTTTTTTTTATCCGTTGTACTGAATATTATTTCAGCAAGCAATTACTCACTGACTGTTGTAAAAGAAATAAATTATGATTTTTTTTGTACGTGTAGTCATTTATGTAGATTTTTGTTACCTTATTCATGGTACGATGAAACACCACCAGGACAGCATCCGCAGTGTACCATTGATACGGTCACGTGTTGTGTGTAGTCCTTGACCAAGAAAAGTTTTCACACTGTCTCAATACTCACTCTAGCACTGAGGCACCGTGTTAGCACCATTCTAGTTGCACAGAACCTGAGTGTCTTGAGCAGAGCAAACCTGGTGTCTCGAGCAGAGCAGAACCTGGTTCTCGAGCAGAGCAGAACCTGGTGTTCTGAGCGACAGAACCTGGACGTTCTAAAATGCATGAGCAGAATGGTGTTCTTGAGCAAGCAAACCTTGTTTTGTTCTTGAGCGAGCAAACCTGGTGTTCTTGAGCAAGCAGATACCAGGCTGTTTGACAGAGCAGAACCTGGGTTCTTATGCAGTAGTAATTGGTTTTGTCGGCTAGAGCATGATAACCTGTGTTCTTGGAGCAGATACTGGTGTTCTGAGACACCGCAGAAACCTGTGTTCTTACATGTAGCGACCTGTGTTCTTGTAGCAGAGCGAACTGGTGACTTAGAGAGCAGAACCTGGTGTTCTTGAGCAGAGCATACCTTGGTGTTCTGCACGAGAGAACCTGTCGTTCTTAGCAGAGCTAGAACCTGGTGTTCTTGAGCAGAGCAGAACCTGGTGTTCTTCGAGCAGAGCAGAACCTGATGTTCTTGAGCAGAGCAGAAACCTGGTGTTCTTGAGCGAGCAGAACCTGGTGTTCTTGAGCAGAGCAGAACCTGGTGTTCTTGAGCAGAGCAGAACCTGATGCTCTTGAGCAGAGCAGAACCTGTTGTTCTTGAGCAGAGCAGAACCTGGTGTTCTTGAGCAGAGCAGAACCTGGTGTTCTTGAGCAGAGCAGAACCTGGTGTTCTTGAGCAGAGCAGAACCTGTGTTCTTGAGCAGAGCAGAACCTGGTGTTCTTGAGCAGAGCAGAACCTGGTGTTCTTGAGCAGAGCAGAACCTGGTGTTCTTGAGCAGAGCAGAACCTGGTGTTCTTGAGCAGAGCAGAACCTGGTGTTCTTGAGCAGAGCAGAACCTGGTGTTCTTGAGCAGAGCAGAACCTGGTGTTCTTGAGCAGAGCAGAACCTGGTGTTCTTGAGCAGAGCAGAACCTGGTGTTCTTGAGCAGAGAGCAGAACCTGGTGTTCTTGAGCAGAGCAGAACCTGGTGTTCTTGAGCAGAGCAGAACCTGGTGTTCTTGAAGCAGAGCAGAACTCAGATACGCAATTTGATTCGACAACCAGTTTGCTTTGAAAGTGGGTGTTGTGACTTTGTAAATGGTCCAAGTCGGACCGAAACGTCGTCGTAAGCTCCTCTCTCCTATGTGCGGGTTATTTGTGTATTGTTACAGTCAAGGTATTGTGTCTTTCTGCTCTTGAAGGTTTATATAAAAGTGGTATTTACACAGTCCAAGACCAATTGCAAACATTTCTTTATTTAGACGATACTCACCCTGAGAAAGTGACTTGGGTGAAGTGTGTGTTCGTAGTGGAGGAGGAAGGGGAAAATGAAACACTTAATATGTCACGAATAGAATAAATATTAAAACGATGACCACATACACGATACAATTTACATATACAAATCAACCACAATGTATATTTTGGTTTATGGTCGTACATAATATGGAAAAATATATTTGACCTGTAACACTATTAGTAAACACGAAATATCAATAGCAGTCTTTCACAGAAAGTACAAATAGTAATTATCATTACAATATAAAGGGTGTAGCTGGGCAGAAAACTGCCTACAAGTTTAGCTTGTACTATACAAACGTTTCTAACATGCTGGCTACTGCCATGGTCATGACGTGCCTACCTGCCGGGCCTGCCAGGGCGCTCACCACAACTCATGCCATCACAGCTGCCACCATCTAACCCGACATTAGTCTGGGGCTCATGACTTGGTTATCACCCCCAGCTGATGCGAGCAGAGCTGCCACTACCTGACCTGACATCAGTCTGGTATTAACGCCCTGGCCCCTCACCATCAGCATAACTTGCCCAGGTAAGGTTAAGCCACGGCTGCGGCGTCACACCTTCACCAGAACACACGCTACGATCCTAAACGACTAACAGTGAAAGCAAACTCTTCGGTACAATGAAACGGAGGTGACGTATTGAATTGGCAAGAAGAGAACGCCTGAGGATGTGCAGAACGATAAATGGATGTGTGATGGGGGTGAGTGGAGTGACAGTAGTAGGGCTACGTAACAGTCAGTGAAGTCTCCCCACCACACACCACTTGACTCGCTGCCTGGCACTCTCCACCAGCCTGGTTGAAGGCTTGACCCTCGGGACACATTGATACCAAGTGCATACGATGGTTAAGACAGGTATAGAAGACTCTACACTGGCTGTTGACGTCGCCGTGAACGCCATCACGAAGGTGCTGGCAGGGGTTGTGGGCGGGGCACATCATGTGACTCTGCTGCTCACATGTCTTGCTGACAGGGCTGAAGAGCAAGTGTGATGGGCACACCGACCACTTGGAATGTTTCCCACACTCTAGATACTGCTGACACCGAGAAGCTATACTTGTATAGCTTCCAGACGGAAGATTTAAACATGCAGTATTTCCTACTGACTCTCTTGCGTATTTAATCAACACTAAATTATCAATACTTTCATCCGTCAGCTCATGACTGTCATTATGATCAAAATACTTAACAGCGCCTTTGGTTCCGAGAATAAATTCAAAGAAAATGAGTTGGAAGTATCTAAAATAGTACTGCTGCTTACTTCACCCTCTTCTAGCAAATACCTTAATGGAATATTTCTATTTGGCTGATCGTTGGTTCTTTTCGAATGATTGGAACAGGAATGACTATACAGAGGGACGCAGAGATTGCCATTGAAGAGTTGGTTCACGGGACAAGATAATGTTTGTAACTTTATACCATCTTTACAGACAAAATATTTCTGACACGCAGAGCTTGGATCGGGATAATGACCAGTTTTTTTGCCCACACAGTCACGATCATGAGTGGAGGTTGGGCAGGTGTAGGTGGAGGAAGGCACGCAGCTCCTACCGTCGTGTACCTGCCCACTCCCACACTCATACTCATACTTCAGACCTTCGTTACAATAAAAGTATTTACGGCAGCTGGATATGATATCTTGGTAGAAGCCATTGTTCATTTCTTTACAGGGGGAACTCCCTGGACATGTAAACTGATCCTTCGAGACACAAGAGTCACCATTGAAGACCTTCCCGTTAGGACATTTGAAGTTAATGCGACGTCCCGAACTGCAATAGTAAAAGCCTTGACAGTAAGTGTTGAGGTCAGGGTAGTAGCCGTCACTGTGGTGACACTCGTCTACACTGATGGTCGGTGGCTCTGGGCACGTGTACTGGCTTTTGACAACGCATGTCTGCCCATTGAACACTTTGTCTTGTGGACAGTGATGAACCAACTTCTGGCCGTCGTAGCAGTAGTAGTACCTGTTAAAAATTTGAATACATTTAGTGATTTATAAAATATGCATAAGTGCGTGTTCAAAATATGACACAAGGATTAATGCTGCCTTCTTTATCCTCTCATACGCCGAAAATAAGGCAAGTGAATACACGAATAGCCCGCACATAGGAGACAGGAGCTTACGAGGACTTTTCGGTCCGACTTGGACCATTTACAAAGTCCCACTAACAGAAAAGAGTGAGGTCCAAGACGGACCGAACGTCATCGTAAGCTTCTTCTTCCACGTGAGGGCTATTTGTGTATTTCAGTCACGGTATTATGCCTTTTTCTTCTTTATAAGTGAAAATATCAGACTGAACAGAAATAGAAACCTGTAACTACTACCAGCACCCTCATCCTTTCCCCTTAACAGCTTTGCATTCCAGCCACCACCATCATCCACAACCACCACTGCCCACTCCTTTGCTCCCTTCCCTACTCCCTACCCTCCCCCAACCCCCCTGTCCCACCGTTTTTCGTTCCCTCTGGAATTTCCATCTTTCCTCCTCACGCAGTCTGGCAATATACACATCTTCACGCCAGCTTAACGTAGCCTCACCAGCCCTCTTCATTAACATTCAACCTGCCTCTCTCTCTCGCCCTCCGTTTCGATTTAGTGACAACTTTTTTTTTTTTAATTACGTCCAATCTCCTTTCTTCTGACCTGCTTTCTCCATCCAGTTTCCATTATTAAGGTGCATTACTAAGGGGTATTATTAAGGAGCGTTATTAAGGTGCATTATTATGAGTTTAGTTTTTCTCCTTAAATAAAGTTTTAACATGTACAGTGCTGAGATTTGAGTATCTGATGGAGGGAACACTGGAAGAAGCTGAGGAGGAATGGACTCTGAGGAGAGTAGAGTATATAAATGAACAGGAAGAAAGATAATAAACGAAATGAGGAAAAGACAAACTGGCAGGCTGGACTTGAGTCCTGGAGATGGGAAGTACAGTGTCTGCACCCTGAAGGAGGAGTGTTAATGTTGTAGTTTTATAACTGTAGTGTAAAGCACCCTCTGGCAAGACAGTGATGGAGTGAATGATGATGATTTTTTTTCTTTTTCGGGCCACCCTGCCTTGGTGGGAATCAACCGATGTGTTAATAAATAAATAAATAAATAAATAAATAAATAAATAAATAAATATATATATATATATATATATATATATATATATATATATATATATATATATATATATATATATATATTATATAATATATATATATATATATATGTCGTGCCGAATAGGCAGAACTTGCGATCTTGGCTTAAATAGCAACGCTCATCTTGCCATATAGGACAAGTGAAAATTTGCGTATGCAATAATTTCGCCAAAATCATTCTGAACCTAACGAAAAAAATATATTTCACTGTGCTTGTTTAGTATTAAATTATTGTAAACAAATCTAAAATATATTTAGTTGGGTTAGGCTAAAATAAATTGTTCTTGTTATAATAAGGTTAGGTAAGTTTTCTAAGTTCCTTTTGGTGCAAAATTATAAGTTTTTACATCGACATTAATGAAAAAATATATCTTTAAACGTATAAGAGAAAATTTTAGAAAGGGCTTAATTTTAAATGAGTTCTTGCTAACTGACCAGTTTTACATATTCGGCACGACATATATATATATATATATATATATATATATATATATATATATATATATATATATATTAATATATATATATATATATATAATATATATATATATATATATATATATATATATATATATATATATATATATATATATATATATATATATATATATATATTATATACACATACATATATGATGAAAAAATGGTGAGACGTAAACGAACGGAAGGAGAGGACAGACTCCAGGGAAACCTGGACAGTCTACAGGAGTGGTTAGATAAATGGTTATAGGAATTCAATCACAAGAATAAAGTTATGCATATGAGGTGAAGGAAAGGGAACAGACACTGAATACAATCTTACAATGAAAAATACTGAGTCAAAAAGAAGAAGAATGATTTAGGAGTTGGTGTAATAGCGAGTATATCACCATAAGCACGCACCAAGAAAACAACTAGGGCAGCATATATGCCAGACACGAACCAAAGAAGTGCTTTTTAGTAACCTCAGCATTTCGAATGAATAGAGACGAATTAGTACATATTAAACTAAAGGAAATATTTTTCTCTGACGTAGCCGCCTACAGAACTGTTGATAATGAGGGTAACATCTTCAACACTGAACAAGTATCGTACCTCTTGCAGCCTGAATGGATGTCCTGGAAGACGCCTCTCTGGTGGTAGGGGCACTGCTGCTTAGTGCCGTCACTGCTGCACATGTAGGTTTCTTGTCTGACGCAAGTCACTCCGTTGAACACCATCCTTGGAGGACATTCTTGCCTCTGCACCTGCACCCCGCCACTGCATGTATAATACTGTCGGCACCTGTTGCAGAGATTCGAAATTAGATTGCAAGAATTGCAGTGAAGGATTAAGTGCAATGTAAAGTTACTCTTCAAGATATAGATGAATTTGATCATGTCCGACTTTAAATAAAATTGCACACTCGTCCAACTGATTTAAATAACTCGCACACTGAACGTAATTTTAAGAGACTGACGAATAAACTGCTGACCTCCATGTGATTGTTTCTCTTGAACTTTTCAAAAATATCACTTATTTGCTTATTTCCATCAGTGGCAACCATTTGCAGCTATTTTATAAAACTCTGTTAATTCACACTGAAAAGAAATCATGAGAGGCATAAGTCAAACTCTGTAACTAGTATTACTTACCCAGTTGACAGGTCTTGATAGATGCCGTCAACCTTAGCCACACAAGCTGTGTTGACACTGGAGGGACAGGTGTAGAAAAAACTGGGCATACACATTCGTCCGTTGTACACCTCACCTGCGCCACACGCACGGTACCACATTAGTGTCTCGTTCTGGCAGAGGAAGTGACCCTGGCACCCTCGATCAGTGTCCACGAAATTTCCATCGCTGCGGGAATAACACAGCGTGGAGGCCGGACAGTACACCTGCGAGGCTTCCCGACACACCTGCCCATCGTGTAGTTGGCCATCGGGACATATGTAGTGCATTTTTACTCCAGAAATGCATTCATAGTAAGAGTTGCAAGAGTCTTGCAGGTCCTGGTACACTCCATCACCTCGTAAGAGGCAGTCTGTCGCGTCAGCAATCACTGGACAGGTGTAGTAATTCTCTGGTACACAGCGCATACCATTAAACTTCTGCTGAGGAGGACATAATTTCGTAGATTCCTTTGTCCCCTCACGGCAGTAGAAGAAGCGTGTGCAGTGTGAAGTAACATCCAGGTAGTAGCCGTTAGGGCGTGAGCTGCAGTCAGTGTCGTGGGTGCCTGGAGAGCGAGCTACCCTGTTGGTGAAGTTACTAGGAAGGTGGGGACCTGGTCGCCCAGGACAAGGGTAAAGCATGGGGTCTACACACTGATCACCGTTGAACACGTGGCTTCCAGGACACGTGTGCTCGCTGAGCTTACTGCCTCCTCGACAGTAGAAAAATGTTTTGCAACTAGTTTTCTCAACGGTATAATATCCGTCTATCTTAGTGGAGCAGTCTGGGAGGCGCGGCCGTAAGGTACAGATGATATTCTGGTCGTCGACACATTCTCGGCCATTGAAAACAAGCCCAGGTGAACATATGAAGGCACGAATGAATTGCTGATGACGACATAAGAAGAAGCCACGACAGTCAGAGTCGGAGGCTACGTGAAACCCGTCATCTCGTCCCTCGCAGGTTCCGCGGCCTTCCCCCCAGCAGGAGAAATTATGCGCGGAGACACAGCGGCGACCGTCGAAGATTTGGTGTCGAGGACACTCCTCCAGCTTGACAAGGGCACCATTGAAGCAGCGAAAGTAGGAGTGGCAGGGGGCGTGTAGGGAAGCATGGAGACCATTGACACGCCCCTCACAAGCCTGTTCGTAACACACTGACGACGTGCTTGCTACACACCGCTGCAACAAAGAAATATTCTCAGATACAACACAAGTTACAGCTACTTCGTAACAGCGTAAAAAACACAGAGCCTTGCAAGTTTATATAATTTATAATTTACAATGATTCTAAAAGTAATAGCGAAAACTAATATATGGAAGAAATAATAACTTACATTTCGTCTTTCAGTTGCGTAACACTTCCTTCCTGTTGACGCTATGGTAAAATCATTCTTCATCTAAATGTATTTTTCCCTTCGTTTTCTCTGAGCAAACTTAATTATCTCATATCTCCCCAAGTCGTTGCATACATTACTAATGAGGCAATGTGACTTTTAGCCTATGATTTGGTGAGAATTATGGAATACTGGCTATGGAATGAGACTTATGGCTTTCGCGGTAAATCTTGTAGTATACTGGTTGCATTACTAGCAAGTTAGTAATGAATGTTGCGCACTAGTAACGATAGCAACAACTTGGTCACGACAGCAGCAAATTGATCATGTGAAAAACTTTTGTTTTTTTAAGAGCGCTGAATAAAACCTTGGTTTTAATGCTTATAAAATCTTAATAATCGAATCACTCAATCCCTGAGGCTTCGCCAATACATCTTCATACTCTTCCTCCCTCTTCCCGTGCTGCTACTCTCCATCACTCCACCTTCCTCCCTCTTCCTGTGCTGCTACTCTCCATCACTCCACTTCCTCCCTCTTCCGTGCTGCTACTCTACCATCACTCCACCTTCCTCCCTCTTCCTGTGCTGCTACTCTCCATCACTCCACCTTCCTCCCTCTTCCTGTGCTGCTACTCTCCATCACTCCACCTTCCTCCCTCTTCCCGTGCTGCTACTCTCCATCACTCCATCTTCCTCCCTCTTCCTGTGCTGCTACTCTCCATCACTCCACCTTCCTCCCTCTTCCTGTGCTGCTACTCACCATCACTCCACCTTCCTCCCTCTTCCTGTGCTGCTACTCTCCATCACTCCACCTTCCTCCCTCTTCCTGTGCTGCTACTCCATTACTCCACCTTCCTTATACACCTACAACAGTGTTTTCACGTGTGGATAAATGGCTGCAGCAAGACAATAGCAGCGTAAAGCCTTATTTCCTAACATTCTTCCAACCTTTGAGCAAGTTAGTGTTAGCGTTCCCTGCCCATTAGGTACTTTGTTAGTGTTTCCTGCACGTTTGTTAGTTTGTTAGCGTTCCCGGTAGGTTTATAGACTAGTGCACGCGGGTCATTAAGCATCAATTCATTTATGCAATAACATCAGTAATACTTAAATTTATAAAAGAAGAATTAAGGTAAATCTCAAGCGTATATATCACTGAAAAATATCTACCTCTCGGTGTATATACCATGTAAATTATGTAACAGAATATATTCAAAGGTGTCACGCCTCACAGTCCTACTATTAAAGGCTAATAGGATGGAAGGGAAGGAAAGAGTAGAAGGGGATGAGGAATTGGAGAGGGAGAGGAAGGTCCGGATACTTCAACAGCAGAACTGCTGCCTCAGATGTAAATATTATTCACTAAGAATATAGATTACCTCTTTTTTTTATGTTCCATAAAGTGTGAAGTAAATAGGATGTCACTGCCAATAAATGAACATAGTTTGCCGACGACTGACCTTGAGGGAGTAGTCGAATATGTTGCTGTAGGGGCAGACATGATCGGTCCTGACGCCGTCGCTGCAAGTGAAGTAGGAGGTGCAGGAGGACGCAGGTGCAGGATGTGGGCCATCTGGGAGCCCCCAGCAAGAGGCGGTGAGCACACCAAGCTAGGACCTTTGCCGCAGGATCCCGTGGACGAGTCCCACACTGCCCCATCCTCACACCACCATCGTCCCGATAGACTACCGTTGTTGCACCTGTAATATCACCATGATTAGATCGGGGGCATGACACGCCATCTGTACTATATGTTACTACTACTACTACGTTATAGTGTCATTACTGATAAGAGTGGACCCATGCTGGTGGTCATGTGCTATGTCAACAAAGAGCCCTCTCGATCTATCTCGTCGTAAATCAACCTCTGTACCTCTCGATCCACCTCGTCATAGATCAACCTCTGTCTACCTCTTCTACTACACTCTATGCACATTTATTTTGTTTTGTTGTATGTTATCCCCTCAAGGAAGGTTCCTTGATGTTGGTGAGGGGCTCTTGATTTAGGGAATTGGATCTGTGCTCCAGTTCCCCGAATTAAGCCTGAATGCCTTCCACATCCCCCCCCAGGCGCTGTATAATCCTCCGGGTTTAGCGCTTCCCCCTTGATTATAATAATAATAATAATGTTGTATGTTATAGCTTAGCATGAGCCAGTAGGCATGCTACAGTGTTCCTTCTTTCTTATGGTCTAATGTACTTTATTCCACTGAGTCGTCCCATCTACTTCCAGTAGTCTTCTATGAACTACGTGTCTTCCAGTGTTTTCACTCTTCGTAATGACTTCCTAATTCTAGAAGCCATTTCGATGCATGTCTCTGGAAATTATCTCTTTTATAATTGTGTTTAGATGCGGATAACATGCTACATATACGACTGTGAGCAGTTTAGCTACAGTAAGTTCCTCACTGCTGGCTTCTCCATGCAACCTTGTGATTGGGTCGCAGTTAGTGGCTATCACCAACATGCCCAGGATTCATGACCTTCTGTGGTGCAGTTGAATTAAAGGCGACGGACTAGTAACTGCAGACCTCTGGTTCGAATTTTGATTACTCTAGTGAATTATTACATTCGTTCATTAAGAAATTTCAGCGCGCATGCGCGCACGCACACACACACATACAGCAACTGCGGCTCGACCCTTGCAACCACAAATAGGTGAGCATACACACACAGAGGGGGTGATGATATTTGCCACAGGAGCTCACCTGTAGTAGGCCCTGCAGCCGTGCGTGTAGTCTGGGTAATATCCGTTGGTCTGGTTGTGACAGGGAGGCGAGGTAGGTGGCAGGGGAGGGCAGGTGACCTCCCCTGAGGGTCGACACTCATCGCTCCCATAGTCCAGTAGTTCACCTGGGGGGCAGGAGTAGGAGTATACCGCTCCGTCCAGACACCTGCAATACAACGTCCTCATTAATTCATGTCGAAGCGATAAACCCGAAGGGTGGAAGCGTGTCAATAAGAATTTCGACGGAAGCGCTCCTCCCGCAGCCACTCTAACTAGGGGAATATCCAGGGAATAACAGCGCCTGGAGAAATGAGAGGAAACCAGGCTTGATCCTTAGGGAGGGTAACTCCAATTCCCTTGATCAAGAGCCCTTCACCGGCATCAAGGCACCCATCCAACCCTTACCCCTTGAAGGATGAAGGTCTGGTTACAGGGATTATCACAAGGGTTCACTTGGAAGAATTACTATGGCACGTGAATTATCATAATTTTAAACTATAATAACATAAGTATTGCTACGACTGCTCACTGGAGTAAATATTGAATATATACCCTTAATAATCAACAATGTTGTGATCAATGAAATTTTCACGAATACCGAGATGAACACAGAATATTTAACACCTCTAAATGTAGTTTTATTCTCATGGGAGATAAATTGAAGCATAAGAATAATGTAATATAATAGTGGAAGACATAATTTCACGTGTAGTGACACGAAAAAAATAACTTCAGTTTAGTGTTGGTACTACGTAATAATCTCAACTCTAGCAATGACAGAAATTATTAAACCACTTTGTAGTGGCAACAGGTGGTAATGACCTCATCTCCGGCAGTGACATCAAATACTGAACCCAACTTTGGTAGCAATAGGTGGTAATGACCTCATCTCCGGCAGTGACAGCAACTACATAATATACTCAAATGTAGTAGCAACAGGCAATATTTCAACTGAAGCAGTGAGAGAAATTACTGTGCTAATATACAATAGGTAACATATGATAATGTTGTCATCGTTAGTAGAGGGAGCCACACTGATGGCAATAATCTCACCTGTAATAGAGGGCACAACTGGATGCAAGGTCGGGGTAGACTCCGTCCTGTCGCGTGGTGCACGAGAAACTTTTGAAGTTCTTGAGCAACTCAGAAAACTGGGACGATCTGTGTCCCCCTTGCATGGTCTCCTGCAGGGAGCGCAGCAGGTGCTCCACCGACCCCCCACCACACTCCTGCAAATACACACACGTTAGCCAAATTACATACTGAGGAAAGTGCGGCAAGAAGCATATTACACTCGCCAGAAAGTTACAATATCAAGCCTAGTATATATATATAATTTAGGTTTAGGTCAGGGATTATATAATAAATTTATATATATATATATATATATATATATATATATATATATATATATATATATATATATATAATATATATATATATATATATATATATATATATAATATATATATCATAGATATGCAATACATCATCACAAACGTCAACATTGCGGAATATCGTGTAAGCTAGGATAAGATAAAGCGAGAACTAATGTGGGAAAAACCACATGTGGTAAAATGTAGTAGCATTAACAAGTCAAGGTGATCCTCTGGATGGCGGACAATTCTCACCCGCAAATTTGGTGCGGATCTCTTGTCATTTAGCCAGTCAAATCATCTCCCGTTTGGAAAACCAACCCGGATCCAGATCCAGTTTAGGTTCATTATCCAGCGAGGGGGAGGAGGGGAGGAAAAAAAAGTTGGAGTAATCTGGCTTTAAATGTGGCTGCTGTCGTAGGCAGCTGTGTCGGGGTCTTAGGATAATGCAGCGTGGAACATGCACATTATGTAAAAAAAAAAAAGCTGCTTTTCCACGAGTGAACAAGCTATAATGATCAGTTATATGAAGCCTTTTTTCTTTTTTTAACTTGGCTTGTTCATGCGTGTTTAATTAGCAAGGTCTTCCTGACCCCACCACAGAAGCATTAACTTCAGCCTCGGTGGTTTACTGAGTACACACATCGCTTCACCTTTATCATCTTGATTTTGTTCCTACCTAACTTTGTACTTGTATAAAATTCTACTTCATCCCGTGTTTCATCAGTCATATTTTTACAAACACATTACGCTTTATTCACCCAGAAGTTGCCTCACTACCTTTAACCTCAGTTTTTAAGGTTGATTTAGGTGACTTCGAAATGGACTTTCGAGTGGGGAAACCTAGCGAGCTTCCGGATGCGGCCCAGAACTTCTTGAAAAAGAGTACTAAGCTACGGGACAAGGACGGACCCAAGAATCTAAATCAGGTTCTGGGTGGGGCAGGCAGGCCGGTAGTGATGGTGGGGATTTCCTGAAGCAGCTACTCTCAACCTTCGTGTGTGAGGCGACTGACGGGTAGGTGGAGCGAGGAGGATCAGCCTGGTAAGTACACAAGCTCCACTGGAGCATTTACTGGAGGTCACCTTACTTACGTGTAGTATCTGGCTCCACTCGACTCGACGTCTCTATATCTAGACTAGTTACCTCGTAACACTAATGTTACATGCTGTTATAAAACTATCATTTTTTTTTTTAAATCCTGTTTCAAATCTCGACACATTTTTAAGGATTTCTTGTTCTTAGACGTGTGGAATGCAGCTGCTATCTCTCTCTCTCTCTCTCTCTCTCTACACTGTCGCTCTGGCCTCACTGTGTTGACTTTGTGGTTGTATCTTCGTTTTTTACCAGTGTATCTCAATATTTTGCTCCCACTCAAGTTTCTCTGAGGTTTCTGTACATTAACTTGAGAACGCCTCTTCTAAATAGTTTCAAACTTTCAACATTTGGTTATTTTATTTAGAGGAAGGTTGGTATTATTACTGTTCTGCGTCGGGACAAATGTGTCCTACACAGCTTAACGTTCGGATTTGATAAATAGTTTTCAAAACCGATAACTTGTCGGTTTTGAAAACTATTTATCACATCTGTCAGACACTGCAACCTCATGGGATCTTGATACAAGGAATTCTTCAATACTTGTCCAACCTTTGGACGAAGACCCTCACCAACATCAAGGAACCTCCCCTCAAGAAAGGTTCCTTGATGTTGGTGAGGGGCTCTTGATTTAGGGAATTGGATCTGTGCTCCAGTTCTCCGAATTAAGCCTGAATGCCTTCCACATCCTGCCCCCCAGGCGCTGTATAATCCTCCGGGTTTAGCGCTTCCCCCTTGAATATAATAATAATGGACGAAGACCTACTTACACTAGTGGATGGTTCCACTGTGATCCAGCCTCCTCTTGCTTCCACTCACCTAACTGCAGCATATAAACCACTTCTCTGGCCCTGTACTGCACTTTCTACAAGAGTGATGCACTAAACACATTGATTCCAGACTGAGGGACTGATTACCTCAAACTCAACCTCTCCTTACTCCTCTCTGCTCTGTATTGGACTGATGAAGCCACTGTGTGGCGAAACGTTTCCTTAAAAAGATTCCCATATGTTGCATAAGTGTCTCAAACTTCAAAGTTCGGAATGTTATTAGAGTGTGTGGGTGGCGGTTTTCTAAAATCTATACTGAATTGTTAGCGTTCCTTGATGTAATTTAAGAATGCCTCTATGTAACAGATTTAGCCTTTAAAGGCTGAAGTATCTTGATACAAGAAACTCATTATAAATTTAAACTATTTGCTTTCAAAATTGATACATTCTTAACACAGTTGAAGAAAAAGAAGAGAGTAATGCTTTCAGCGTGATAACCAGAGCATACTTCAGTGATGGTGGGTTGTGTAAGTTTTCATTAGCGAATTATTATTAAATTGATTTATCCGTAGTAACTAGTGAAGGCTTCTGAGTGACTTCAATTGGTAAATGCTGATTCATTCTAATTAAAAAAAAAAAGGCTTGGGGTTAATCTTGTGCTGGGTAGGTGTCACTTTACCTCTTTATTATAGAAATGAGGAATAATATATATATATATATATATATATATATATATATATATATATATATATATATATATATATATATATATATATATATATATATATATAGTGTTTATGTGATAAGTTGGGTACCCTCATCCCATCAAAGTCAATTTGTCCGTCTGGCAGCTCGTACGAGGTACACAAGTATCAGTTTCTTCATAAAAATTCTTACATGACTGTAGAGAATTTGTAATAGAATATAACTTTCAACAACAGAACAATACTGAAAACGTGGTCTCTTTATAGCGCTTTTAAAGTTAATTGAGCCGTTAAATAATTTTTTGCACTGCTTTATTGGAGAACCGGTCATAAACTCTGATACAGTTTTAATTTATTTTTTTTCTTCTGCCACGGCTTCTGTACGACGATTTCAGAACGACTAATCTGATTGGCTTGAAACTTCAAGGGCTGGCGCATGTTACTTAAGGGAAGATTCGTATTGATATTTGGATATTTAGGTAACAATTTGCTACTTGTGCACATGCAAGTAACACAGTGGTTTTCATGGCGTTCCTTAATAATATAATAATAATAATAATAATAATAATAATAATAATAATAATAATAATAATCATCTTGATTTCTACAAGTACATGTACAAGGTATACAGACCACAGCTGACATCAATGACATACTGCTATATAGAAAGACCCTTGTTTTGTAGAGCAATTCCCGCAAATTAGGTCAATTTTGTCCCCAGGATGCGACCCACACCAGTCGACTAACACCCAGGTACCTATTTTACTGATGGGTGAACAGGGTCAGCAGGTATGTTAAGAAAACACGTCCTAATGTTTCCACCCGTACCGGGGATCGAACCACGGACCTCAATGTGTGAGCTGAGTGCGACTTATGATCTGCTTCAAACTTTTATCAGAAGTATATTCATCTTAAAAGAAAGTTCGAATTATTACCAATCTGCCAACTGTATTTAAAAAAAAAATATGGGATATACCTTTGTGTGGAATGACGGGAATGCATCGTGCGAGAGGCTTGTAACTTAGTGCTGGTGTACTGTGCTCAGAGGAAGACCCGCATTGACATTGGGCTATGTAAAAGATTAGTGTGCAATTTAATAAACTTATAGGCATATTGCTTTCCGTGTGGTAACTAGAATGCCTCTACCAATTGGCTTGAAACTTACAATATATGAAATAAAAAAAATTGTTTCTATATGATAACTTTCGATTAATATACCATTGTCCTGATCGTTTATATAAAAAACTATTATCACACTGTTGTGTTGATGATGTGTGTGTGCGTGTGTGTGTGTGTGTGTGTGTGTGTGTGTGTGTGTAGGGCAGAGTGCGGTGAGTTTGTCGGATATGGGGGACACCTTCCTCGGATCACACAGTGAACGAAATAAATCTAGATGTTTTTCCCCCTTTAGTGACAGAAAAGTGTTAGCAGAGTTAATCCCAGCAGACACCCACGACTATACACTCACACTCTGCCACACACACACTTGAGTTTTTAACTCTACTTTCGTTCTAACTATATCTAACTTGAAGCTTTATAATACAGAGGAGCCAATTAATTACTGAAAACAATACAACATCTACTGTATTATACAGCTAAATCGTAGACTACTTGCTTTTAAGGATGTATTTTTGTGTATGCCTTATCCAGGCATACCCTCGCTGTATTCCCCGATTATCCGTGCATTAATACATATTTTTTCGTGTTATTACTCAAGACTTTTACGTTGACTGTTGATCCAGCGGAGGTGGCCCTAGAGCTCTAGTTTATCCCTCTTTATACACTGCCTCCTCCCCCGTACGCATGCACGCCCGGGCAGAGAGAGGGAGAAAGAGAACTAAGCAAGAGAGCTGCTCAATCATTAACCACTGATCCAACGCCAGTGTTTTCATGTCAAACGTTATACGCGTGAAAGTAGAAGTTACAATGTGAAGAACGCAAGAATTTGTTAAGTGGTGGTTAAGCCAGCAGAGAGCCATCATAACCAGCACCGACCAGAGCCACTCATGACAACACCAGCATCTGAACAGAGACCACTCATGACAACACCAGCATCTACCAGAGGCCACTCATGACAACACCAGCACCGACCAGAGCCACTCATGACAACACCAGCACCGACCAGAGCCACTCATGACAACACCAGCATCTACCAGAGCCACTCATGACAACACCAGCACCGACCAGAGCCACTCATGACAACACCAGCACCGACCAGAGCCACTCATGACAACACCAGCACCGACCAGAGCCACTCATGACAACACCAGCACCGACCAGAGCC